TGTATATATATATATATATACACATATATATATATATATACACACACATGTATATATATGTATATGTAGTCAAACGCAGATCCACTGAGCTCTCAACACAGACAGCATCGTCAGAAGAAAAGTTGATAAAATAAATTAAAAATTCTATATATATCTCAGTGAGATGCTTGGCAACAAGATGAACAGCCACAAGGAGCAGTACTCTCAATGGAGAAGGAGACCACAAGAAGGCCAAGATCCCTCCAGCACGGAGGGAAGTTATCCAACTGTCGGAGCTGCAGGAAGGTGTAATGAAAAAGGTGCCTAAGAAGTACAGCAAGCTGTCCATACCTGAGAAAATGGCAAGCAAAGACTCACAGCCTTGGCCAGACACTACAAGAGGTATACCAGAGAAACAGAAGTCAGGAGAATAAACAATCCTAGGTGTACTCTCAGTGGCAGGGGAACAATGTGAGAACAACACCACCAAGACTGGAGATGGAGAAATACTGGAGGAGAATATGGCTACAATGTAGCTTGCCATTGCCAGTGTGTGAATGTGTGTGTGAATGGGTGAATGACTGAATGTAGTGTAAAGCGCTTTGGGGTCCTTAGGGACTGAGTAAAGCGCTATACAAATGCAGGCCATTTACCATCACAAAGATGGCCACAACTGACCGCGTGCTCAGTGAATATCTCAGGCAACCCAAGAAAGAGATGCAAAAGGAGGAAGGGCAAACCCCTGCACGGTATGTATCACCATATGTATCAGTAGATAGAGGAAGTTGCTGACATCCAGAAATCCTACCAGTGGCTTGGACAAAGCTGGACTGAAAGACAGCAGAGGCACTAATCATGGCAGCACAGGAACAAGCTCTTAGCACAACAGCACATAACAGCAGGGTGCAAGGCAGGGCATACATGGAATGCCATAACCAAGTGGCTGGCATAGTATAAAGAAACATCTGTGTCCAGTATAGCTTGGAAGTCCCGAGGTCAAAATGGGATACGCCTCCTAGAGTGGTGGAGATTGACCAAGCTAAGATCCTGTGTGACTTCCAGATACAGACGGACAAAATCTTGGTGGCCAACCAATTGGATATAGTAGTGGTAAACAAGCAGAAGAAGATGGCCGTAGTGATAGATGTAGAATTACCAAATGACAGTAACATCAGAAAGAAGGAACACGAGAAGATGGAGAAATACCAGGGGCTAAGAGAGACGCTGAAGAAAATGTGGAGGGTGAAGGTAACGGTGCTCCCAGTGGTAATCAGAGTATTGAGTGCAGTGACCCCCAAGCTAGGCAAGTAGCTCCAGCAGATCCCAGGAACAACAGGAATGAGATCTCTGTCCAGAAGAGAACAATCCTAGGAAGAGCAAAGATACTGTGGGGGACCATCAAGCGGAATTTTATTTCTTTCATTTTTAGTCTTCTTTTGCACTGAGAGGAACTGAACCTTAATGACGTTGTTAAATGTTTCATTGGTCCAATGACAATAAATATCTACTGTCAGGTCACTTTTTAATATTATTCTCACCGTGAGGAAAGGATGTTTGGTGTTCTGTAACACTCGGCTCTCTGTAACCGTGTGGGCCACTTCATCCTGCCAGCAAACACAATTATCATTACAAACACAAAAAACATTTTTAAAAATAGTAAAACGTTACCTAAAGCAAGAACAAACAGAGACTGAGAAGGACAGTCCGTTTGACATAATCTTTGTTTTAATGCCTTAACTTGTATCAAAGCTAAAATACAACAATGTAGCTGATATATATTACAGTCTGATTTTATTCAGCCACTTTGTTACCTAAAGATGGTCAGAGGACAGCGCGCACTGCTGACACAACGAAGTCACAAATGATGCTCGATGTTTTCATTTACCTCATATTTAGATAAGAACATATTTTTATGGAGTTATGTAAAAGAAAATACACCTACCTTCAAGTTTTATGTATCAAGACTGTATATAGAAAAAAAATCTCTAGTCCTCACCAAGTTCTAAACTAATTTAAAATCTGGGACAAACAACCTTAAAATGAACAACACATGACATATTTTACTGTATCATTTTTTGCACAACTTCATTTAAAATGTTGCTTTACTTCACTGAAGTTGCAGGAATTCATTCATGCACAGATCTCTGAGGGTCCCACCACACCATTTCAATCAGGTTGAGTTCTTGATAATGGTCCACTGCAACACCTTTAATCTTTTCTCTGAGTTATTTTGCTCTAGATTTACGTGTGTGCTTGGTATCTTTGTCCTGTCGCAAGACCCAATGGTGCCAATTGTCAGACAGATGGCCTAAAATATGACTCTAGACCAGCGGTCCCCAACCTTTTTTGCGCCACGGACCGGTTTATGCCCGACATTATTTTCACGGACCGGCCTTTAAGGTGTCGCGGATAAATACAACAAAATAAAACTAGTACCGGTACCGAAAAAAAAGAAGATTTATTCATAACACACCTGAAAAGACCCAGGAAAACCGAGTTAACGATAAAAACGATAACATAATAATGCTGAAAACCAATAAAAACCCTGAAAACCATACATGAAAAATGAATGGAAACAGCAAAACAGCATAATTGGTTAATTGGTGATTCTAAATTGTGAATGTGAGTTTGAATAGCTGTCTTTCTCTATGTGTTAACCCTGGACAGGCTGGTGACCTGTTCAGGGTGCACCCTGCCTCTCACACTAGGACAGCTCCAGCCCCCCGCCTCCGCAACACTGAATTGGATTAATGAAAAAGTATGGATGGATGAATAAAAACAACAATTGTTATGTGGTGGTCAGTATTAGGGTTGGGTTTAAAAAAAAAAATTTCAGCAGATTGATATTGATATCGATTCATTAAATCCTGAATCTATTTTTAAATATAAATGTATTTTGCCAAAATCGCCAGAATCTCAGCTTAAAGCTCACAAAACTATTTCAAGAACCACCAAACAGCTAAAACAGCAAATGAGAGCAGATACACGGATTCCACAAAAAGATGTAAACAGAAAGCGCAGATTGTTCACCTGATGGCACGTATAAAGATGGTGCTGAAAGCCGACACATCACAGATTCTGATGCTGAAGGTTTTGTCACTCTCTGACCGGAATTCACTGAACCCGCAACAAAAGAAAATCCAAACTATGCTTAACGTTTGATAAACATTATCATTAATTCCCTCTTACATTTGCGGTTTTGCTTCCACCACAGTGGGTGCAGTGGTTCAGGGGGCAGTGCCAGAGGAGGTTGCCCAACACAGCCTATTTAAGCAGCATGCCAGGACCCAGAAGGGAAGAGAAATTTGGAGGGCTGGTGACAGTTGTTCTGCGTCTTGTGCAGGTTGATGGTTTCTGAGTTAGAAACAATCTAATGGCAAGAAAGGATTCAACATCTGCAGCTGTGATGCTGGCGACAGCCTCATTGCTTCTGGACAGATAAGCTAGTGAGATTTCAACAAGATAACATTACTCTGATAGTTATTAAAAAAAAACAAACCCATACCCACTAGACATACACTCAACACACACCTGAACAAAAGAAACTGAAAAGAACTAGGACCTGTAACAACTTGGGTATATGGACTGACAAAAAAAGGACTGCTGAACACCTTTATTGCTGTAATATTGAACAAATGTGTTTTATTGTTTGTGCTTTCACTCCTGAGTCGATACCTCAAGCAAATAGGCCAACATATCTATGTTCAGTCTTTCTTCTTTCTTTGTTTCAGTTTTATCAGTAGCATTTTCTGCTTTGGTTTTACTGCCGTAACTACAAGATAACTGCAGACCACTCAGAAATCCTAAGACAAGGGTTGTGTAGCTCTATCCTGCAACTATTGTAACTTGCCCTTTTCAGTGCAGTCAATTACTCCTCTGCATGTTTGGCTACTTTTTCTGCCGCACTGTAGCATCAATATAAGGGTTCACCAATGGCAGCAAATTTCTGAAGGGAGATTGCTGAAACTATTGGATTGAACATGTGGTTTGTATAGCTCAGTGCTCTGATAGGATTACAGGGTTTCAAAAGGTCTCTTAAGTTAGGTATTGCCTAACCACTGAAAAGTAAGCAGTTTTAAACTGGATCTGAAATTAACTGAAAGCTAGTGTAAGGAGGCCAGTACAGGTGTAATGTGTTCACACCATTTCTTTCCTGTCAAAAGGCAACCTGCTACATTTTGAGCAGCTTGTAGGTGACGAAGTCAGAACTGATCAGAGCCAATTATAAAGAGTTATAATAGTTTTCACAAGTAGTAATAAAAGCATGAATTACTCTCTAAAAGTAATGTGCCGTAAGGTAGGCCTTCACCTTACTGAGGAGCCACAGCTAAAAGAAACTTGTCTTAACAACAGAGCTAATCTGTTTATGAAATTTTAAAGCACTGCTAAAAAGCGACCACATGCTGTATGGCTGAGAGCAGCCGGCCAGGTTCAAGTCCAAGCCGCAGCCCTTTCTTCCTTTTGCTTTCCTATCAATTCACTGTACCTATCAAAGTAAAATCCAAAAAAGGCCAAAAATTAAATAGAATTATAAATTTGTTAAGATTAAGAGTAAAGTAATAATCTCGATTTACAAGCACAGAATCATCGAAAGCTGATGCAAACAAAGATGCTGTTAAAGAACTTATCATGTGCACAATCGGACCAGACACAGACTGAGTCAGAAAGTTTCAATAAGATCAATAAATTCTTTGACCAAGAGTCTGGATTCATAATGGACATGAATATTAAAATCACTGACAATCAGGAACTGATCATAATTCAATGAGCAGTGTCTTTCATAACTAATGACAAAAATATTTTAGTCAAGCCCTATAAACACTAATTTTCAAAATGAGCCAATAAACATTATACTAGAAAACAGGAAGCCAATGTTGATGCTGTGCCACACTCCTGTCTTCACACACATTTCGCAGCATTCATCTGTTAAAGTAGGACAAGTCTTGCAGCAGCAAAATGGCAGAAATATATCAATTACAACTGCATCAATTATGTCAATACACACACTTACCTTGGCTATTATCACCATTTTGCGCAGTATTTTCATGGCATAATGTACTCCAGTTGTCTTTTCTTTGACAAGAATCACCTTCCCAAAGGTACCCTTTCCAAGCAGCTTCAGATATTCAAAGTCACTCATTGTCTGTAAAATATACAACTCATTCATTGTGGAAGTGTGTGTACATTTTTTTTAATTAAACAAAATAATCTTTTAAAGTTACGTACATTTAGAAGTAAAATATATTATGCTGTTCGTTTGACATGAAATGAAAAGTTTCGTTCTTTGCATCCTTGTTCCTTATGTCCTAATGCAAATAGCAGACTGCACATAAAAATATTCACCTAATCACTGTGACATAAAAGCTCAGCCTTGGTTTGAAACCACACCAGTAATGAGCAAGCAGTGGCTCTGACTGTGAAACGGAGGACCTCTACACTAAATGGCTAATGACTTATCAATCACAAAGAATAAACACCTGAATAGACTGACTAGATTTCTCTCTTACTCTAATAACATTTAAAATGAACTTAACTAACAAATACGACCATAAAATTTTCAGGAAAGTATTTATTGAGGTTATACAGCAAGCAGACATGCCAAGGGGCCACTTTCCCCCACACTTGAACACTACAAGATGTCTTTTTGCTACCACTGCAGTCCCAATGAATGCTGGCATTGGGTTTACTTTCCAATTCTAAGGATAGTAATTCTGAGGAAGCCAGAGACAATTACATGTTTGTATGATGTAAGAAATATCCTTTCACAAATCTATACTGATATTCCTGTTTGCACAACATATTGCTTCCCTGATAGAGTTTATGTGAGACCAACTGAAACTGGCCTGACTTACAGTAAGTAGCAGTTTTTATCAGCTCAAAGCTGTATCAGCTAATTCTCTCACCACTTTGGTGCAGCTCTTGGATATAACTGCCTCCATCTCCACCAGGCTGCTTTCGTTTGGTGAGCTGAGAACATCCATTGGTTCCTCTTCCCCCTGTTCCTGCATTTTCAGACTGTTCGCTACATACTGGATTGCCCTTATCCACCCCTCTCTGAAATGTAAAAAATATCACAAATTGCCACTCGGCTATCCAATCCGTAAAACTGTGAAGAGTATGAAATCACTGTATCATATACATCAATACTGGAGAATTTGGCGTGACTTAGTAATTGTCAATTTAAAAAAAACATTAGATGGAGTCGAAGTATTCTAAATGACAACTAATTAATAATGGATACAGGAAAATGCACATCACAGTACATAAAACACAAAAAGTGCATGCCAGGATTTGACAAGGATAGTAAGAAATGTGATTTACGGTTTTTACCTCTCTTCGTTGCTTTCTACATGAAAAGTACGTTCAATAACAGTGGTCCACTGCAGACAACGGATGACAAATGTATTAGGTCTGGGTCTTTCAGTCTTCATTAACTGGCATTCTGTAAAAAATACAATTATCATTCATATTTACTTGAAGGTGGTTAGAAGGGACCAGAACTGAAAAAACATACAGGGAGTCTTGAAAACTAAAAGGATCTGACATAAAGGACTCTTCAACATCTTAAAAGACTAACCTGCCACTGAGAAGTTGTTCAGTGGTGGGGAAGGTTGGTCATTTAAATCTGGTTTCTCTTTGTAACCGATGAAAGAGCCATCGCTCTTTAGGATAAAATACCTAGGCCTCCATGTTTTGATATATTCACCTGGATCAAAAATGACAAATTAAATCAACAGTGCAATTATACGATGAGTAGCTGGCAACAGACAACAGAAGTCAACAGTTTTCCCATCTTATAACACAATTTTATAACAATTTTCATGATCCATACCTCTTTTGTGAAGCCATCCCTCTCTCACTATACTGACTTCATTCATGGTAAGGGACTGCCCAGAGAGAGTCAGAAGGAGGAAAAGTAGATTCTTACTATGTTTAAGACTCAGTCACAGTGACAACAGCACCTACTGAATGAAATAAGCAGTGCAACAAAATGGTAAATGGCCTGCATTTGTATAGCGCTTTACTCAGTCCCTAAGGACCCCAAAGCGCTTTACACTACATTCAGTCATTCACCCATTCACACACTGACATTAAATATTTTCCATAGAAAAAAAGAAAAAAAAAATTAACATTCAGTCAACAGCTGACTAAAAAAAAAAAAATCTTAAAATGAAAGAAAACTCATTTAAGACCTGATAATATAATATCCAGATGAGAGTATCTGGATTTCATCAATACTGACTGCAGTCAGAGTATTGACTAAATTTAAAAAGCTTATTTAAGATATTTGTTAAATGTTTGCTGTCTTGATGTTGTAACAGACTATCAACTTTAGGATTAAACAATTTTATCTTAATTTACAGATTTAAAGCCTAAAGTCTCATATTTGCTTCACTGTCAAGCTGAATGATTTATATTGAAAAAGATGGGTGTTGGAAAAACATCAAAAAGACCGACCGATGATGCTGTATCCACTATATATTAGAATGGCTAGAAAGAAAGAAATACACTTCGTGTTCAAGTAATGGAAACCACACAATATTTAATAAGCTATTACAATATTTTCAAACTTGATAAGAAATTATTGCATATTCATTGTCTATTTATTCGCTAATCGTTTAATCATTTATGATTGTCTCGACAAGTTTCTGTAAATGTATACTATTACTCTGTTTTACTCGGAACATAAACTTACATGTCAAGGGGACGAAACCTTACACTTTATAGAAGTGATGGTGAGTAACATTTAAAATGGCATATCTTAGCCCGTTGCAGCTAACGTGAAGGCTCCACAGAATGAGCGTTGGCTCATACGCCGCCCAGCACTAATAAACCAATCCGGAATTTTAAGTATTATTTAAAAAAGGGAGTTTTGGCATATGACATGAATGCATAAGTCTACCGGATGTTAACGTACATTACTGTACAATTCCTGCAACGTGAGTGTGTGCGTTTATCGCTAGTTTTGCTGCAGAAGGATACCAGCGGCAGGTATCACATTTACAAACATCGCGCAACATTTTAAATGAAAGCACACTACAAAACTCGCAATTTGTAGTAATTCCAGCTAAACAACACATAATACCATTCTAATCCTACTCTCATTGTTTCTCGTCACTCGGCGGGGCAGTTAAGTTGGTTTGCAGTTAAATACTCACAGCAGATAATTTACTGTTAACATACAACGAAGTTTGAAAGCACACGTTACAAAAAGCTTTAAGTAAAGAAATGTATATACAGTTAATAACTTAACGTATTCACACTGAATCTATATTAACAGACAAGCGAACGTCAAACAACGATACTTGTCACTTGAGTAGTGTCAAAAGTCACTTTGCTACTTATAGCTTATTATCACATATTAGGTTCTTATTTTACAGCCAGTCATAGTAGTGCTTTCCATACTCGAGTTTTATGGGGCTTCACACCGAACTCTAATATTAGTAATGATTCCTTGAACTATAATAAATTCATTTTTATTTTTATTATTAGAAAAAAATATCTTACGTTAGCGATCATATGCCTTCTGGTAGGGTTGCTGAAAGAGCCCTGATAGCGATTATCAAATAGCAGTTCTACCTAGCTATGAGTTAAAAGTTTGTCAGCTAATCTTTTAACTTCATATATTTTTGCACAACTTAATTATGAAACCTAATTTAACGCACATCTCAGTGACTTTATCCCACACAGATTTCGTTTCAATGCAGCTTTCACAGTTTAGTTCCAGAACAGGCCATCCACCGAGGAAAACGCCGTGGAAGTTTCTTCTTCGTAGCTTAGGTCACATAGTGGTACCTCTTTACGCAAGTATCGCCCCCTGCAGGCAGCATGTGTGCTTGTTCTTTGTTTTGTTTTTTATGCCATTGTTCCCGGAAGTTAGTAACATACACTGGCCGCGCCATGAAGATATTGGAACACTAATGTTTGTGATGCTTTTTTGAAAAGCTAATAACTCAGAACATAAGTCTGTATGTTATAAGCAAATATAAATTAAATTAATTTGTATCTGAAAACATGTTAGTGGATCAGCCACCAATGATTTAGGGCTTTTTAACTAGGATAATACTGTGAGCAAAAACATACCCAGATACCCAGTAATACCTAATTCACTGTAAATTATGTTCTCTTAATGTTACTTTAGCCAACATAGTGAATTAGTTGTTGTTCATTTGATGGTGTTAGTGACATTATGAAATCCAGTTTTTCAGCCTGTTTAATCCACTGGGAGTGTGATCAAATTAATGCTGGACTATGTTCAGGGAAAGGCTATTTCTGTTATATATGGCTATAATTATAAATTCAGAGAGGATATTTGAGATTGGAAGTAAAAAGTCACCAAATTGTTTTTTGTTTGTTTGTTTGTTTGTGTATTTTCGCTTTTTCCTGTTGGCTGTTACCACCTGTATTTGGTTGCTTCTCAGCTGATAGAAAAATAAAAGTGAAAGTGAGGGACCCAACTGAGACTGGAAGTACAATAACATTTAAAATATGTCACAAGCTAAACGCTTAAAGTTTTCTACCACTGTATTAGGCGATTCAACACCAAATACAATATTAAAGATGCAAGCAGCAATAAGAGGGTCCTTGCACCCCGCTGCTTGTCCAGGCCAGCCTCAGTCAACTGTGCTGAGGTCAAGCACTCACGCAGTCATGTGGTTATTTTCAGTTCAGTACGTTAACTGGGTCTGGCATCATTTACCCTACTGAACACCATCTATGGCCACTAGGTGGCAATTGTCTAACCATATGTCACACTGCTGTATATCATGTGTGGAACCAACAGTTAAAATTTCATTTATATTGAATAATTATAACCTACTGGATAGTTCCCTGTTGCCACAAGTTAGCGCCATATGTGTGACACAATATTGACAAATACAATCTAAGTCGCTTGGAAAGAAACTGACTGGACTTCTTTAAGTTCCTTGAAGATGTTTCACCTCTCACCTGAGAAGTTTCTTCAGTTCTGAAAGCAACTGACCATCTTTGAACAGAGGGGGCAGCTTATGACACCAACTGGCTGCCACCTACAATGCAGTTTTAAGGTACCTTCCCAGGCACCCGAGTCCCCATTCACATCTTGTGAGCTCAATGGGTCACATAATAAGGTGGGGCAAGGTCTCAAAATGGTTTCACCTGAAACCTCTGCCGATAATCCTAAAATGTTGATTCTGCTCGTCTGGACACTATGCAAGGATGAACAGAATCCACTTTTTGGTATTTCACTACCTGGATGATTGAGCATGCATCAAGACTGTGCAGATAATGACCAACAGCCTTTTTTTTTTCTTTTTTTTTACATCTTCTTACATGTGGTGAGGCACATTATTATTGACTAATAGTGGGTCAATGACCCTCTTAAGAGACAGTGCTCACTAGGGGTTAATACTTTATTTACTAATGGTTAATCCATGAATTATAAAGTAGAAAAGATAAAGCAGAAAACATAAAAAATTTAACATTTTATATGGCCTTACTAAGCAAGACTATTCGTATACACCTATATAAATGACATACTAAGGAGGAACAATACTTTATGATTGAGTTTTAACTAATACTTCTTTAATGCTTAATAGTGTGTAGATATTATGTGACAATAAAAGTGATTTGATTTGATTTGATTTGATTTATAAAATGCCACCTAGCTTTTTAAATTTTTATTAACTTCTATTTTTTTTAATCAAGTGTATGTGACCTACATTATATTAAAAATATTATAAATTCCGTTTTTACCCAGTTTTAATGAAAAATCATACACAAAATTTGCTTGCTTGTCACAATTTTTATTATTTTTTAACAAGATAAGCTTTATTTTTTAAAGAGTACTTTATCAGATGACAATGGAAGAATATCAAAAATAATGTTTTCACATCTGAAAGGTATCATAGTTCTACGTGGGGTCATATGGAGTTTTTCCTGGTATACCCTGAAATGTACATACATGTAAATAACTTCACTTGCGCAATGTTGTGTAATTTTAGACATTCAACAACAGCTGCTGGAATTTCCTGGAATGGAACTCCCCAAAGTTCTATTCTTTTCTATTCTATTCTATTCTATTCTATTCTATTCTATTCTATTCTATTAAAAAGTCAAATTTCTAACCCATTTTCAAGAATGTAAGTTAACATGTGCTGAAATGTATATCCTTGGAGCTACAAAACCAGTAGTGTGCACTACTAATTTTGCAAGGACTTGAAATTGTTTGATGGTAAAAGTGTCAACAACCTGTCTGAGCAGATTACTGTTACCTGCCACTGATAAAAATGCCTGGGCATGTCATTCATATGTCTGTTGATGAATATTACATGAAACACTAAAATTTACAACTCCTAGAAAATAATTGGAATTCAATTCTGATTTCCATAACTAAGCAAGACATCGGGGAAAAATAATGATAATAATATTTTATTTGAAAATGTGTTCATGTTCATAGTCTTAGGACTGATCAGACCTTAAAGTCCATTGCATGAAAACAAATTAAACAATGTAAAATAAAATAATTTCGCCAAGTAAAGCACTGTGAGCACTGCAAGATAAGCATCCATTTTTTTCCCTTTTGATCAGTTCTTCAGTCTTCATCCTTGAGCTGTGACCTTTGTAGCTCCTGCATCAGAGCTAGAAAAACAGAGCAATATTCTGGTATAACACAAGATCACAACATACTGTATATGAGTAGTTTCTACATGTATGCCCTAGGTTCCTCTGACATAGTTCCTCTAGGTTCATCTGACATATGGATAGTATATACGTTAGAACTCACCTGTGATAATTTCGTCCTTTACTTTGTAGAGTTCCTTTTTTATTTCTTCAAGGATTTCCTTCAAATGCAGACAGAGTATGACATTTTGCATAAAAGAAGTACATTTTGTTTTAATAAAGAGCCTTAAAACTTTCTGTGTACAATAGTACAAATCTGGAAACAATGTTAGAAGCTTTGCAACTATGATTTAAGGTTCTTTAGATGAAATGACTTTATAATGCAAGTCCTGGGAAAAACAAGCAGAGGCTTAGAACACATATTTTACATACTGAATAGCTTCTCTTGTTTCAAAGGAACTAAAATAGATTTATGTCATCACAGAAAGTTATACTATTTACTAAGGAGTTGTAGGATATTGGTGTGTATTTATATAAAGATGGAGGAACAAACCTGTTTAAATTTTTCCATATCACTATCATTTCCTGTACCATCTGAGTTCTTCTTCACCACCTTCATCCTACAAAAGAAAGATACTTTATTACACTGAAGCAAACACAATCAAACAGGTCATATTTTAGGCCAAACACTTACTTTTATCTTCATGTACGTGTTCCAATAATGTTTCTTTCTTTTAAATTAGTTTGGAGTGCTATGCTACAGAAAGTGGAACACTCACTGAATCAGTTGAGCAGGATAGTGGCAGCATGTCACACTCAATGTGTTTTTCAAAGCAGAAGCAAATAATCACTAATAATTTGGAATTTTATGTGGAAATCTCTAAAACTAAATGGAAGCAAGTTTGAGGCCACCACACTGAAAATATTAATATTTTAAATTAATTATTAAAATATCACATTTTTATATTATTATTATTATTATGTGGGGATGATGCAGATGGCATGCTTGAGGCAACTGTTGTTGTGATATGGTGCTATACAATTGAAATGAATTGTTCTGTCAGACATCAGGTGTCTGTGCTGGCCAAGCCTGTTCTTGTAACAGGCAGTCAGCTAAGATCCCTTTTGCCTAAAATAATACAGATTTTAAAAAATTGACATGTTTGTTGTTAATATTCAGCAAATATGAAAGTTGTATAAAAGTCCTATATGCTTTTGTGTCACTTTGCATTAAAGTACAAACAATTTTAATGCCTGTATAATACATATATTAAAATAATAAAGTAAGTTTTAATATCTAAGTTAAATAAGTGCATAGACAAGCAGACTAATTATTTGCATTGACAAATATTAATGAGTTCATAAAACTATGGCTGGGTGTAGCTCTCTGGTGTGCCTTTCACTTAATGTTTGCAGTTTTGCGATTACAACAGAGTAAGCTATTTGTACAGTCATGCTCACAGCTCTGCTGGTTATCTGTGGGAACATGTGGTTAAAAACAAAGCATTATCTTCATCTCAAACATGAGCTGGCCAGGGGAAGCAACACACTTTGTTTCAGGCAGAAACAATAAAAGCAGTTGATAGTTAATCTTATGACAGTAAGACAAAGTAGAAAATAGAAATGCCGCACACACCAACAAACAAATAAGTATCTCTTTCAGATTGGAATAGATCTTCATTGAATGCATATCATCTTAGAAGAGAACCTATGTAGTAGGCAGAGTCAGGGGGGAGACTAGTACCTGGACACTGGAGTAGTGGCAGAGTTTGAACTTGGGCTTGAGTCTTTTTGATTGGTGGTTAAGGATTTGGCTCTGTTGCAAAGAATACAGATGTTTTAGGAAAGTTGTTGATTGCTGAATTGCTGTGAATGGCTCAAAATAGGCTGTTGTTTAGTATATAATGTATGGATCAGTTGTAAAGTGAAAGTCTGAACCAGTCTCTTACCTTGGCATGGTGGCAGATTTTTCCTTGGATTGATTGATTTCTGGTGGGGAATTGTTGTATTTATTATTGCATTTCATGTTAATATCCTCAAATTAAATGTTCTTGTTTCTTTCACAAAAAGTCTATGTACAATGCTGGCTGTAGTGTAAAGAGAGGCATTTATCTTTCTTTATCTACACAGCTGTGATTACTCACCCGCTACACCTGAGGATTTCGATACAGAGGACTCAGAATCCTCCTGTAGTTACGTATAAAGATAATTACAGTTATAATTCAATATTTAAATCTTATTAAATCTACAAATACTACAGACCCATAAAAAAATCTTATGGGTCTTCTTGAGAGCATGGGGCTTACATTGTGAGATTCTTCCTTTTTTACAGCTGGCTTATCAGCAGCTTTTCGCCTATTAAAAAAAGAAATCCATTACAATACAAACAATGAGATCCTCCATATCAGACTATCACAAGTATTTCTAAGATGTATATCTCTCGATTATGACTTGCCTTCTTGCAAGGATGGCACTCATTTCTCCCATTAGATCACCTCCTCCACTTCCACCAGATGAGGACTGTGGTTTCGGGGCTGGGGCTGCTGAACCTCCCTCATCCTTAACACAAAAAAATGCACATCACTGTGTTTAAAGCCGTTTGGTCCAATGAATAGTTCCTTTTGAAAAACATAAAACTAAATACAAATAGTAAAATGTGTGTGTGCATCAGGGTTTTAGAGAACACAAATACATAAATGGACTGATATAGCACTTTTCTACTCTCCCGAAGTACTCAAAGTGCTCTATACAACAACACACTCCAATGGACGCATGGGAGAGCAACTTTGGGTTAGTATCGTGCACAAGGATACTTGGCATGCAGACTGGAGGAGCCATGGCTCAAACCACTGAACTTCCAATCAATACAACACAAACCTGTTCTACCTCCTGAGCTACAGCCACCCCGTATATGTATATGCATATATGTATTTGCTCATACCTTTACTGTTTTGCGCAATTTGGCTCCTGCTAGAGCTGCAGCCAGATCATTTCCACTGCCACCTCCACCTCCTCCACTGCCTCCTGCAACCGGTGGGGGTGGAGGTGCAGGTGGAACCATACCTCCAGATGGAGGTGGTGGAGGTGCAGGTGGGCATCCCCCAGAAGGAGGTGGGGGTGGACCTGGAGGTGGTGGGGGTGCTGGTGGGGCAGGTGAAGTAGCTGGTGGGGCAGGAGGGGCAGGAGGTGCTGATACAGTGGCCTGGCGTTCTCGCTCCAGACGTTCTTTCTCTTGCTGTTCCTGCTTCTGACGTTCGAGTCTAGACGAAGATAGACAGATAAATTAGAGCTAAGTGCTGCTGTTTGTATAAAAACCTCAACAGGTATAATACATGTGTTTATATTTCACTGAAAATCCATCCTTTATATTGTGTGTGGAGGTTCATAGTCGTGCAAATCGTGGTCGTTTTAAGAGGTTAGAAAAAGAAAGGAACTTGATTTCTTTAAGTTTCTGAGTATGCTTCACCTCCCATCCCAGGGTTCCAGAAACAAAAGACAAACAAAAGAATTGCAGGTATTTAACAAGTAGTGGTGTCCCCTCTGGAGGTGGTTGTTGACCTAATACAGATCATTTGAGTCAAAAAAGGCATAGGCCATTACCATCAGAAGGGGACAAGGGTGAAACCTCTGTGAGACCCACCCTATCATGTGACCTATTAAGGTCAACTGAGGCAAGGTGTAAGTTGCAGTTGAAGTGCCTGAGAACTACAATATCAGTTCCTCATAGCTGGTGTTGAAAGCAACCACCTCTTTTCAATTGTAGTTGTTTGTTATGGACATGGATGGGAGGAACACTTTTCAAGTGGTAAGGGAGTATGAAAGAGAATCCAGGAAATTATATACTATAAAATTCCCCTTTGATTAAATCTGAGATGCAAAGAGTCCAGATTGGTCCCAAGAGTTTGTGGTTTTAAACTACAGTCAAGAAACATAGAGTTAAGCAAATCTGATGGAGTAGTACAGAACCAACTCTCGAGTAAACGATACAGGTCCTGACTGTTGGCTGTGCTTACGTGTCAAGCAGCAGGTTAGAGTATCTGGCCTTCTTACAGAGGGGCTCCCCAAGCTACCCAGCTAGGGTACCCCCTCATCACTGATCTTTGATGAGGGGGCTTGGCTCACAGTCTCTGCTCTAACTCATCTCAAAAGTGTTCTGTTGGGTTAAGATTGTTGCTCTGTATAGGCCAGTCATGTTCTACCACACCAAACTTGCTCATTAATGTCTTTATAGACCTTGCTTTGTGCACTAGTGCGTCATGTTGCAACAGAAAGGGGGCATCTCCAAACTGTTCCCACAAAGCTGAGAGCATGATATAGTCCAAAATGTCTGACATGTCGGAAGCATTAAGAGTTCCTTTCAGTGGAAGTAAGAAGCCAGGGCCTACTCCTGAAAAAAGGTTGCCACATCATAATCCATCCACCACCAAATATTTATCCTTGGCACAGTGCTGTCAGACAAGTACCATTCTCCTGCCAACTGCCAAACCCAGACTCACCCACCAGATTACTAGATGGAGAAGCCCAAATTGTCAACGGTGGGTCACTTTTGATATTGTTTCCATTTCCCTAGAGTGAAGTGGTGGTGTGATGCATCCAATGTTCTGCATTACGCTTGGTGATGTAAGGCTTGGATGCAGCTGATTGGCCAAAGAAACCAATTAAATGAAGCTTTCTATGCACTGTTCATGAGCTAATCTGAAAGTCACATGAAGGTCTATAGTGATTACTATGCAGAAAGTTGCCGACTTCTGTGCAATATGTGCCTCAGCATTTGATGACCCTATTCTTTGATTTTCAAATAAGCTTTGCCTGGAGTGTGTCTGAACTTTCTTTTATGTTTAATTTACGATACAGTGAATGTGTCCATTTGCGTACCTTTTTGCCTATGCCAAACCTATGGAGAGGGGTTTTCAACATACGCAAACAACTCTCGTGCAGTCTTCCAAAAACACTATGGATAGGTGTGACTAACTGGCTGACTGTTTGAAAAGTGGATCATGGTAAGGCAGTGACAGCAGAGTTCACCACAAATTTTAGAAGCCCCAAAAAATATAAAAGCATGAAAGTGATGTGGTGGTTACAGAAGACAATTTTCATTTGTTTAACACCTGGTTTCAGGCGTTATAGTTTCAGTTTTCTCTATGGGTGAGTGAAGGACCAGCCACAGCACAAGGAGAGTGTGCCACAGAACAGTTGTTTGTGACATTGCCCTTATTTACAGCAAACAGCTACAATATGTAGACCAGGGGCGTCAAATTCATTTTTACGTTGTGGGCTACATACAAACCACTTTGATGTTAAGTGGGCTGGACCAAAGAAACTCTCCTTTCCATCAGTCCAAGTGCTATGGTTTTTTAAAAAAAAGATTTTTGGGTTTGACTCATTTTTTATTATCTTTGTATTATAGTTTTGCTCTCCTAATCTATAGGTCTTTAGGTGCATTCTAGGTAAAGATGCGTTTTGTGTTTGAGCTCTACAGTCTTCTGTTTATGTTTTATATTTATAGATAGCGTAGTATCTATATTTCTGGTTCATGATTCTAGTTTCTTTTTTCATCATGTTATATTTCCTTTGTTTCTAGTCTCTCTTCCTCATTTGGTTATGTTTTCTTCAGTTATCATTGTTTTTGTGTTCCCTTTCTGTCACCCCAGTCAGTCATGTCTCCATGTTTGTTTATTTCCCCTTAAGTTCATGTCTTAGTCCTGGGTCTCAGTGTATTACTTCCTATTTTATTTTGATAGTCCCTTGTGTCTTGTGCTGTGTTTAGTTTTGTTTGCCCCTGTCTCATTAGTCTAATTCCATCCAGCTGTTTTCCCTGGTGGGTATGTATTTTCTCCATTTGTTCTTTGTCATGTTATCCCTCAAAGTTGTGTCCTCCCTTGCAGTATGTTTTTTTTTTGTTTGTTTTTTTCCCCCCGTTGAGTTGCAGGTTTGATTTACCTTGTTAAATTTCTCATGTAACTTTGTGATTTTCTTTACTTTAATAAAAGCAACTTTGTAGTTTATTTTCTCATATTTCTCATATTTTATACTTTTCATTGTAGATAGTGGAAAAAAGGACATTTTATTTTTGTCATCTAACTCATCACTTTGGTGTAGTTTGGGGGGAGGTCTTTATCAGCAGAAAAAGCGTAGTCTGTCCATAGGACCACTGCAGAAGCATTCAAGATAGATTGAGGAGCTCAGTCATTCAGCAAGGGCACAAGGTAGAGTTGCTACTCCCCCATCATGAAAGGAACCAGTTGAGGTGGTTCAAGAATGTAACAAGGACACCTACAAGGTGCTTCCTAGCTGAGGTATTTTGGGCATGCCAAACTAGAAGAAGACGCCAGGGCAAACCCAGAACATACAAGCCAGCCATGAGATCATTACTTTTGGCTGGCTGGGAAACACTTTGGTGTCCTCCAGAAGAGGTCTAGGAGGTGGGTGAGATAAGCAAGGTGTAAACATCTTTGCTTTTAGGCTGTGTGCTCCAAAAATAATGTCACATCCACATAAGAGAAAGCCTAATTAGTGCCTGCTGACTGTGCACTTGTGTTCCAACTAGCTCGCTTGCAGTGGGATAATTAGCGCGCGGCCAGACTGCCCTCTTTCCCCTGCTCCCTCCCTGGAAACGTGCTTAGCTGGAGATCTGAGAGATGATGTGCTTGCAGCCACCAGCAGCCGCCTACAAACCTCACTCATATTCCTCATTAACCCTCCCTTGATGCTTTAAGCCCTTCAACTAATCCAACAACATGCATCATATGACCAACATCCGTCAAGTCTGCGTTTTCAAGTGTCCACACTGCGATGGGACAGCTCCATTTTGAAATGTATGCGTTTTCGAGAGCGTTTTCAAAAAGATGGCATTTTTCCTTGGGGAAAATGCCATCTCAGTGTGGACGAGAGGCCAAAACGGAGAGAAAATGATGCGTTTTCAAACAAAAACGCATTAGTGTGGACGTAGCCTCAGCTTCTGTAACCTGGTACATTGCACTGCTGCCGCCACAGCTAGGTTTTGACAGTCAAGTGTACAGCCATGTTAGTTTATTCTGCAATTCTAGTGATATATCAGAAGGTCAGAGTTTCATAAATTCTACAGAGGGAGTGGAAACATTTTGATAACATGAGACTTTATTGAAAAATACTTGACAATGACTTTGCTTTCTGTATCAGCGCTGATGTGGTGCTATTGTCTAAGCAGAGAAAACTGTTGTTCAGGAAAATAATGCAGCTGCTATTTACGTCTTAATGGTGAGCATAAATAGAAGTGACTGTGCAGAGCAAACAACCAGTGCAGAGTATACTTGTCACGGGTCTGGGTCCGTTGGACCCAGTATGTGGAGTTTCATGTTTTTGTTATTCCATGTTTGAGGTTATTATGTTTTGGTTTTAGTTTGCATCAGGGATTGTTTTCTTGTTCTCTTGTTGTGTTGATGATGATTATGATGTTTATTATTTGAGTTTCATGTTTAAGGATTTGTTCTCGGTTGTATCTCACGTTTAGTTTAGTTCAGGTTCCATGTGTCATTCTGTCTGTCTCTCAGTGTCAGGTCTGCGTTTTGGTGTGGTGTTCTCATTTCCTGTTTTATTGTGAAGGTCTGGGTCTCATGTGAGTGTGTTCAGTTTTACCTCTGTCTCGTCTTGTTGATCATTCCCAGCTGTGTCCACCACCTGTGTGTAATTCCCCTGTGTTTCTCTGGGTGTATTTAAGCCATGTCCTCCGTCATTGTAGTTGCTGTTCCGTCTGTGTATTCCACCCTGCCTCATCTGCGTGTTCTCCCTGCTGTCCGCCGTTAGTCTCTTCTGGTCGTTCTCGTTAAGGTTTGTGCTCTGTAGTTTAGTTGATCCCAGTATAGTTTAGTTGATCCCAGTATAGTTTAGTTCCAGCTCCATTTGCCGTTTGTATTTACTTTCATGTTCAATAAACCACCTTTACATCTTCACGACTGCCTGCACTTGGATCCTCCTTTTCCTCTTCTACACGGCTCTCCTCACCCGCCGTGACAGTACGGACCAGCCAGATATGGATCCAGCGGCATTCACCCCACCCACGGAGCTTCGGGACCTCATCACGAACTCCGCTTCACAAATAATCAACCTGTGGTTAGAGCATGAGGGAGAAGCATTCCTCCACGTTCTGGAAGCCAGACTGCAACAGCTGCTCACGGATTATCCCTGGCTATTGGACTCACTACACCCTCTGGTACAAAACTACATTCTCCACGAACTTCACCTCCACCCTCCAGCTGCTACCGCTTCCCAACCCAGCCCGCCGGCAAAGGTTTTGCCCGGCCCGCCGGCAAAGGTTTTGCCCGGCCCGCCGGAGCAGTCGGCAGGGAGGAAGCGACGTTCGCGTCACCGGCGCGGCACCCCACAGTCGGACTTCAGGATGACAAAACAGTCGGCTGTGGTGGGTGAAACAGACACTCTTTCTGTTCCTTCTGACCCAGATACTAGGTCTATTTCTTCTGGAGCTATTTTTTTGTGTCTCCTCTAAAAATAATAAGGATTT